TTCAAGCCTCCAGTCATAACAAGTCAGAAGAAGATTAGTGAGAGACTGCTAGCCAGTTGGGAAAAGGCAAGAGATATCTCTCTTGGGAGAGGAAAACTTGCAGTTAAGGACAGCTTTGCCAAGCAACTGGACCAGTTATTTGACATAATTACTTGCAAGTGCCCAATTGTTCTCTGTCCTGAGTTTGGATGCGATCGTGACTGTAAATCCGAGGCCCACATCTCCTGTATTTGCAAGCGTGAACTGAAGATTCCTGTGATCGAACTGGCATTTGTCAAAGCACAGAGAGAGAAGACTGGCAGTATAGGGGCTCTCATGATTTCTAGCCAAGATATTCCGGAGTCCAAGAGACAGGAGGCTGCCACAGAGAGACAGAAGAGGAGAAGAGTTGCCGAGGAAAAGAGACTTGAGAAGGCCCAGGGTGAGGTAAAAAAGGCCGATGATTGGAGTCAAACTGATTCAGAGTTTAATGACTTCCCCATGGCTGATCCGAGTGCTGACCAGGAGAATGGTGACTTTGTCCCTAACCCAGAAAATAATGATCCCAAACCTTCCAGGCATAAGATTCGAAATAGGAAAGATATCCCGAGCATAGCTCTGGCCAGCATGCGACACCACACTGGTCTCAGAGAAACTGCAGAGATAGCAACAGCTGCCTGGATTGACGGTGGTTTGATAACACCTGATGATGTTCACCTGGTGATAGATCATAACAAAGTAAGGAGAGCTCAGGAGAAACTTGTCAGTAACCTAGAAGAGGAGTTTGATAAGGGGATAAGAGAAAATGGAATCAATTGTTTGTTCTTTGATGGGAGAAGGGATGACACTAAAGTGTTCATGAAAGTTGGAGATTCTGACAAGTTGTTCCCTGCCATGGTGAAGGAGGAACACTACTACTGCTGCAGTGAACCAGGAGGGAAGTATTTGTGGCATTTCACTCCAGAGAAAGATGACATCAGGAAACCAGCTGAGATAGTGGCAGATAACATTGTGAACTGGCTCAGAGGAACGTAGACCAGACCCTGCAGGCCATTGGAGGGGACAGCACCAACACGAACACAGGGTGGCAAGGGGGGTCATACAGTGGATAGAGCGGAAGATTGGGAGGAAGCTGGTCTGGATTGTTTGTGACCTCCACACCAACGAGTTGCCACTCAGACATCTGATCCAGGAGCTGGATGGCAAGACTCTTTCAAACAACAGATGGTCTGGTCCTCTTGGCAAGATGCTGGACTCTGCCACTGAGTTAGAAATAAATCCGAGCTTTGAAAAAATCACAGTTGGCCCTCCACTCGTTGAGCTTGCACATACTGTCATTGACGACCTGAGTACTGACCAGTACTATGGTTACATGATTTGCAGTGCCATCAAAACTGGGGTCATGCCTGATAGACTTGCTTACCTACAGATAGGTCCAGTCTCACATTCTAGGTGGCTCACAACGGCTCTCAGGTTCTGCAGAATTTGGGTCGCTCATCATAAACTGAAAGGGAACCAGCTTCACAACCTGAGACTTATTGTCCAATTCATCGTGAGTGTCTACTTGCCAAATTGGTTCAACACCAAGGTCAAGTCATTGTTCTCCGAAGGTCCGAGGCATGTTCTCTTCCAGCTTGAGCTCCTGAGGAGTCAGCCAAGGAAGGTTATTCAGATTGTGGAGCAGACTGTGAGGAGATCTTCCTGGTATGCTCATCCCGAGGCAGTTCTGCAGACAATGCTCTGCAGTAAGGATGAGGAGGAGAGAAGAGTGGCAGTCAAAAAGATCTTGGATATGAGACTTATGAGAGGATCTGGGCATGACGAATCAGTTGGTGACGATTCCTTCAGGGTCAGGAAGACTCCTGAAGTCAATCTAGGTGCCAAGACCCTCACTGATCTCATAGATCTGGATAACATCCAGGCTGGCAGTGAGGCCCCTCTTACCTGCAGCCTCACCAATGTTCAAGTCAGAGCTTTCCTGGACAACCCCATGCATGTCCCTGCCTGGCCCTCGCACACCCAGAGTATAGAGCATTGTGTACAGCAAGTGAGCGAGGCCAGCAGTCACGTGTACAGCCAGGAGAGGAGGGAAGGCTACATCCGAGCTCAGGTGGTCAGCAGGGAGGTGATGAGTAGAAACAGAAGCAAGAAAGACATGTTCTCTATGGTGTGCAGCAACACCGGGTCGTAGTAGTAAAACCGGTTTTTGTATTTGATGATTTTGTTTTCTAAAGGAATATTAAATTTAATAAATGTGTCAAGATCATTCGTTTCACTATTCTGGATCATTTTCATCCTAATAAATTAACCTGATACATTTACTTTACTTTAAATAAGCTATTTTGTGGTGTTGGTAAAAGGGTGGGAATACTGAATTTTCATAAGATTTCAAGTTAAAATTTACCTAGCAAAAAATGAAAACTTTTCAAATCTGAAGATATCACATGATTCTGCACATAGAACTACATCATTAATACCATGGGCCGATTTTTCAAACTCAAAAAAAAAAAATTCGCCTCCGTATGACACACCCTATAATGCATATATCCTCCTGTCTTGCTCATCGTTTGACCCAACCCACGTCTTGAATTTCTGGGTTTTCTTCTTAATTTTGTCGACCGCCGCATGGTTCATGTGTAGGGATCCCCTCGTATTCCTAGAAGCACTGGGTTTGGTCTTGGGTATATATTTATCAGTCAAATGGGTCATTTTACTAGTTATGATATTCAGCGTAGTGTCTGCGTTTTTGTACCTTAATAAGTCAGGCCAGTTGATACCCCTCATCTCTTCCCTCATCCCATTGTAATTGTAATCACTGATAGAAGTACTGTAGTGTATTGTTTAATTCATAATAAAAATTTAGCTCAATCTTCATAAATGCAAAACTTATCCTGTCACACAGCTTCAACCTTATCCTTCACTGCAATCAAATCCTAATTTTCAGTCAATCTAAGTACAGCACTGTACTATACAGTATATAAGTCCATCCTTGGTGACAAATAACACACTGTATGTACTATAACATACAGGACAGTACTGCAAGCAATTGTGACCACAAGCATTACTTAATTATTACTGTACAGTATTCTGGATACAGGAAGTGTTCAATGAAAAAATTAGATTTAATAATGATGATAATATTAAATTAAGTACCTGTACTATATAAATATTCCTCTCAATTTTATTGGCATCCTTTATACAGCAATACCAGGTTTACCTTGGCACCAACATTTACATCCAAAAATCATAACTGATCCCCTTGTGCTGATGAAGATGCCAAAATTGTAAATAATGAAACAAATTTTATTCTAATGATATTTGTGTAAGTTATGACCACAATTTCCCTTGATGATAATATAGTAAGTTTTAACTTAAATACTATAAAAAAGTACCACAGATATTTAGTTTTAGTGCTTAAAGAACTTGATTAGTTATCTACACAAGAGATTCAGGGTACAGTAATGCATACAGTACTGTACAGTAGTCCTGACCTGCAGAAACACACACTTCCAAGATGACAGTGATAAAGTGCGTGGATGGTTCAGCAGTAAATACATTCCAATGGGGATCATTTTTTGAGTAGCAGGTGAAGCAGTGACATTTTCAGTACAGCAAGTCCTCTCCTAATGTTGCCCCCGATAACCTTGTTTCGTTACAACGTTGCTATTCTTTAGATACCCATGATTCGGATAGCATCCCTCCGATTCAGTAAAACGTCGTCACGGACTACTTTGTACGGAGCATCTCATCTTGATGTGCTACGCTCTCACCCGTTGAGTGTCACAGCGTCACCAATCTTTGTCAGTCTACCATAGCGTTCATGCATGTTTTAAGTGTTTTTGCTCTTACTACTGTACTCTAACCATTCGAAATGGCTTCCAAGCGCCCATCAAGTGCTATGGATGCTAGAATTGTGAAGAAGCAATGTACTGTAAGACCATTAGCCTTGCTACGGAAATGGAGAGGTTTTCAGGAACAGAACCAGGACATTAAGCTAAGAGTTACTGTACATTTTTACTACTAACTGTTTCTTGTGTACCTCAATATTTTTATCAACACCGCACTGCAGAGATCACATAAAGCAAAAGTGGTGAGACAATTTCCTATTTTAAAGATATTCATGAGACCACATGTTTAACCTTTTCCACAATTTACATTTTCTCAGCCATAATAAGCTTTATTTGCTTCATAACTTAGGCCACTGTTTTCAATATTACAGGTAGTAGTGTTAAGAGCCAAATAGACTGTACAGTACTACAAAAAGATCTCTGTTAGCTTTAGGGGTGGTCAAAGAAATGGCTGTTAAGATTCATTGTAACAAAATGCAAAAAGAGATGCACCTAGGTCATACCAAGAGTATGGAGGGATATCACATGTCCCAATAGGATGAGAAATAGCATTAACCGAGACCAAATTTGAAAAAATGTGTATGTTGTGTATGTTGAGAACGAAGTGAAGTTCTTAGTCCACTGTGAGAAGGTGGATCAAGCAACTAAGCTAGTGGGTCTTATAAGACGAGCGTTCACACACTTAAGATACTTCATAGCACTCTTCAAAAGCGAGATACTTCCTCATATCTTGGGCCCTGAGATATGCTAGAGACTGTCAGTTGATTGAAAATGTCCTAAGGAGGACCAACAGACTGATGTGTGCACTATGGCATCTCAGGTACCCAGAGAGATTAGAATGTCTGTAATTACCTAGCTTATACTATAGGCAGACAAGGGGCATTACTCAGTCGAGTTTTCATACCTGGAACTGGCAGATGCCTGCCCCACTAGGGGTCACAGTTTAGGTTAAAGAAGCCACAAGTTCAGGAAAGGTAGCCTTGTGCTAGAGATCAAGAGTCTAGCTCAATTTATTCTTCTTGAGATATTACATACACAATTTGGACAGCATTTATGGGTTCTCTCCTACTGTGTAGTAAGGGGCATACACACACTACAATAGGATTAATTCTACAAACTACAGTACTGCACTTTTTTAGTTAGAGGCAGGCAAGGTTTCATCTCCAAACTCACCTCCAGTGTGCAAGCATTGCCTGGCTTGGGTTTCTTCAGGAGTGTGTGAAGGTGTAACATTTCACTTCGTAGTGTTATCCTGGAGCAGTGAAGGATACCATTGTCTTGTTTGACAGCCACCACACGACCAGCCTCTAACAGACTCTTTACAAACTCTCCCTTCTGCTGTAAGTCGTTCACCTGGTAAACAGTATCAAGGATATTAGCACAAGAAACACCCCTCATACCCTTTAACTTAATAGTTGTATTAATTTCCTAAAACTTGCCTGGATTATTATTGAAGGGCACCAAAACCTTTAGGGATCATGTATATTAAAAGTGGGTCCCATCAATCTGACAGCCCATTAGGGACAATATGAATACAGTACTGTACTGTACAGTGTGGACTAACTTTCTGGCAAAAAATAAGGCAGTATGACTGACACTGCACTCATCTGCCTTCACTTCCCCAATTATATAGCTAGATTTCCATTTAAAATTCAACGGATTGAAAGTTCCCTCGGTGTGAACCAGCAACCCCTATGACAGGTTATTAATTATATCCTTTGGAATGTGAGAAAGATTAAAGAGACATCTGTGTGACACACGTCTGGAGTTTCCTTCCCAAAAAGATCACACACACAGCATATACCAAACTGTACCTTCATCCTCCTGTACTGCGCACATCATTGTCATTCCTAAAAAAAAACCTTTAATTCATATTACGCTACGTAACATTCAAATCCACCGCTCTTTGAGAATCTAAGAGAACGGGAAACATTGATAAAGGATAACTCACCTACTCAATGTTACTGAATCATGTGTTGTATTGTACCCAGGTGCAGTTATATAATATTAATTGTATGTATTAGCATTAAGGAGAACTCAAGGTATCCATAAGATGATTGGGGAAGTCCAGTTAAGCCGGACAAGTGTACTGTAGGACTAAGTGTGGATCGTGGTTTGAAGGTCATACTATTTACGTCTGTGAACGTGTAGCGAACATAACTTCCACAGATTATCATATGAAAATACACGAGAACAATGATCTGGAAAAAGGATAAATGTATCAGAACTATGTGAGGTGTTGGAAGTGACCCAGAAACTATACTTGAAAGGAAATATCTTGTATGTATCGGTATGAACTTAATACACCTCGTATCCTCACGTGACATATACCCACAACATGTATAGTGATCAGAGAATCTTATGTCTGTGTTCAAATAGTGCAATGTGTGAGAGGAAGATCCCTAATTACAGCTTTAAGTGAAGTGGATATACCCACACCATGAACATTCAGCTTTTGTTTTAAGGGAGTGTCCTGTGTACCCGCCTCGAGTGTGCCGCATTGAAATTATAACCCAATGAATTTACCCACGAACTAGCAAACCAGAACTTTACCTTAGTGTGTAATTTTGGATTAAAATATGTGTTTATAAGGCATGAGTTACAATATACAGGAAAGTGTTCATGTGAGAACCGTAAGAATAAAAGTAAAAATTATAGATTGGAAACTGTAGGCCTATGCTGTGACGAGCGGCGGGGGCACTGCCCTCAGTATCCTCCGTTCTACCGTCACCTCAGGTCAGTGTCCTATCGGGCTACATCCCGCCCTATAAAAAAAGCTTATATAGCAGTTATTACAGTTTAAAGCTTTGCCTGATGTATAAGTGAAATAGAAATGTGTTAGGGTGTGTGATAACCGCCCATCAGGCAATATTTCTCAGTATCCGCCATTCTACCGTCACCTCAGGTCACACGCGGTCGGAGCACCTTGCTGGGCGTCGGCCATTCTCCCTATGAGCGTCCCACCATGTGAGGTGACTACCAGCTATACGATTCCCCTGTGAACCTGTGGATTCCCAGCAGATCACCCCAAATACGTAGGAATAAATAAGGAAATGCTTGACAAACTCCGCGGTCGTCACTTGGAGCGACCTATAATGCCAGGCGCAGAAACAGTACTGGTATGTCTCTGGGTGTAGCCCTCGTCTCTACCCACCGAGGACGGTGTGCGAACGAGGTGCCTGATGTGTGCACCTAGAAATTACAAGGAGTCCCATACTTGCAGGGAGGTGAGATGGTGTTACTATGTATGATGACCTAAGGTGCTATATTCCATACAGGTGGAGCAGTCCGAAGTGTTGAATGATATTGTAAGCAGGGTAACCAAACTCATCATTGTTCTTCTGAGGAAGGCCTGCTCAGTTGTATTTTTTTGTTACCATATAGTTTATAAGGAATAAATTAGTTAAGACTTATAACAAGTCTTAACTAATTTATCCCTTCTTTCCCCTTATCGATCTGGTCAATGAAAAACCTAACCCAATGCCTAGTCCACTCTGCACGCTACCTAACGAGCTACATACTTCCACAGGGGGTCTGGTGGCATCGACCCTTAGAAATTTAGATTAGAGTTAAGTACTTCCCCTTAGAATTAGTGACCCCAGTCTGGCAGTATACTCCAGCTATTTATACAATTCAGGGGCTCCTTTAAAATGCAGTCTGATGCCCATATCTCTGCTGTCTTAATTCCCTTGTTAGGGGTATGTGAGTGGTGTTGGAGTGCATGTGGCTGGTTGTTGGAGTGTGTGGGTGGTTCTTGGAGTGTGTGTGTGATGTGTGGGTGTAATGTTGGTGTGTAATGCGGCTGATGCGAGTTAACCTTTTTGTGAGGGGGGGGGGGGATGCGGTCAGTTCTCCCCCTCCCCCCTCCATCACCCAAGTGTGGCTAATTATGATGGGGAAATGAATTTGATACCATAATGATCCTTAATAATTTCTTTACGAAGCATTTCCAATAAGATATCCTTAAACGAAATATTTCTATTTGATATAGTGATGGGAATTCCATTCTCTTATAAAAAAACGTAAGAAATTTTGATGCCGAAGTCAGCAAAAACAGTTCTAATTTCGTTAGACACCATTTTTTTTATTTCAAAATAATCCTGAATACTTTGTCAAAAAGTTTGGTTAAATAAATATATTTAAAAAAAAAACTTAAGCTCTATATGAAACGGGCATGAATACAGAGTAGAACTGTTACTTTTATCCTCTTAATCACTGATCAGCTCGTTAGTTGCTGGGTGATCTCTGTTACACACTTCACTTCACTTCACTAATCATGTCTAACAATTGCAATGAAGGTTGGGTGGGAGATTGGGTCACATTACTAACCTGACCTGATGCAACGTCAGGTCACCCAGTGTTGGGTGGGGAATGAGTTGGTCTTATGACCTGAATGTCTTGAATGACATTATTTTGTACCTATGAGGTATATACATACAGTCTCTCCTCGACTTACGATGGGGTTCCGTCCTGACAACCAGGTTGTAAGCCAAATTGGTCGTAAGTCGAAAAGGCAAAAATAATAAATAGAAATTCTAAAATGGGTGTCTCTTTTTCTTCTCAGCACCACGAGAACTCTCACTTTACACTTGCCAGCCATTTTAAAGGGAATTACAAACGAAAATTTTGTCAGTACACAGTGCAAAAACTAACGTCGGGACTCGAAAATACGTATGTCTGGGTTGTCGTAAGTCGAGGAGGACCTGTAGTACTAGGTATATTGTATTGTATATGAAGGGTACTACAGGTATTAGTTAGCACAGATTATTACAGTAACATATCTGTACTAATTAATTAGAAACAAATAATCAATTTTGTATCATGAATGAGTCAGCCCAGTAGGCAAATAGCGAGACGACACTTGTGGGGGGGTGGCGCGTCACTCTTACCCCCCATCCCAATGGATCTTACAACCTCTTACTCGTTCACAATGAGAGATTAACCTTATAAAATGTCATTGACTTGACTTACAAGAATATAATTTGCATTGCTGGAATTCTTGTAAAATAGCAAATAATTTGAGTATAAACATCACATATTTTGCAAAACACACACACACACACACATATATATATATATATATATATATATATATATATATATATATATATATATATATATATATATATATATATATATATATATATATATATATATATATATATATATATATATATGCAAGTAAATCACTGTAGGTGCGCGTGATCTAGGTATATACTGATAACCACAAGGAAAGAAGAAAACACGAAGTTCCCAAGTGCTTTCGTGTAATTCACATCTTCAGGGGTGAGTACAGACTAAAGAGAAATACAAAACAAGGTGTATATACACAGAGGAGGGTGAGACCAGGTCCACATGGTCAGGTATTAGGTAATGACCCTACTAATCTTTAAATAGCACCGCAACGGTCGGTAGTCAGGTCAGAGGGTAAGGTGACCCAACCTTCTCACCTGGTTACAAATCTTCTTAATTACAAAATTGTCCAGTTTGTACATGCCATTACTCAAATTCATGTTGAATGCTTCGGTATGTTTAATGAGACTAGATTCTATGATGTTCCTACTATCAATTGAATTACAAGGTAATATTGAGGAGGCATTATCCCAGTCAATGCGATGCTTGTTATCCCTCAAATGAACAAACAGAGCATTGGATTCCTGACCTGTCCTAACACTGTATTTTTGTTGTTTAATTCTAGTTACAAGATCTTTACCTGTCTGGCCTAAGTAAAACATATTACATTCCTTGCAAGGAACTTTATAAATGCAACCAATTGTGTTCTTGGGGGAGTTCTTGATTAACATTTGTTTAACAGCGCACGAGTTTTTAAATGCCACATTGACATTCCAGGTTTTTAGTTGTGAAGGAATGTGTGAGAAATTTTTGTGAAATGGTAATATTAAGAGATTCTTATGGTCATGGGTGGGCTTGGGATCAGTTCTATAAAAAGTTTTCTTAGTAATGTTTAGGCATTTGTCTATGAAAGATCTAGGGTATTTAAGGTTTGAGCCAATATTATAGATATACGGTATTTATATTCCTCATCAATGAATTCCGGACTGCAAATTCTCAAAGCACGTAAAAACATTGTTGAAAATACTGACTGTTTGACTCTATTATGGTGGGCAGAATAATAATGAGTGTTTGAACACACATTAGTTGGTTTTCTATAAATACTGAACTTAAAAGTATTACCTATTCTGTGTATCAGACAGTCTAGGAATGGCAATTTACAGTCTTGCTCTAATTCCACAGTGAATTTGATCGAGGGGGCTAAGTTGTTAAGTTGTGGCAGGAAAGCTTTTAGGTCCTCATTACATGGCCAGAGACATAATACATCATCAACATATCTA